AGACCGCAGACTTGGGCTGAAAAGCGCGAAGAAAAAAGCTATCGCGCCAGTTGAGGTGGTTCTTTGTTCGGTGGCGTTGTGTTTTGAAGGCGCGATACCTTCGCAAATTCGGCCCCTGGCGTGGCCCTGGCACGGGATTGTTGTGCGTAGTCCGTAGCCCGTGTTCTAAAAATAGTAGTCAGCGGCGACCGCGGCTGGTACACCTTTCGCACAGAACCTGCCGCCAGCCTTGGTTCCAATGATGCAAACGCGGCATCTCTGGCCTGGCCGAACTCCGGGTATATACGTGTCGTGACACTCGTGGCGCGTGGCGTTGACGGCACAGCCTGGCAGCGTGCCAGCACGGAGGTGGGCTTCACCTTGCCGTGGGAAAGGTGACACAAATGTGGCATCCCCGTGCCACGGCGGCAGGCCGTTGGCGACGACCTTGATGCGCCGTGCATCCGCAACTGGCACATCGAGCTTGATGTCATATGTCGGCCAGGATGTTACGATCGACCATTGCGCCGGCTTCGCGGCTGACACGCGCGATAGCATGCTGGAAAGGGAACGCGCGCGTCGACAGACTCGTCGACAGCACCCCGGAAGTGGCGCAGGCAGCGCGATGGTCACCGTGCAAAGTGCCGAGATGCCCGCGCCAGCAGGGTGGCCAAGGTACAGTATATCGTGCGCAGCGGCATGCAGCGGCGTAGTCGGCCACGAGGTGCGGCGGCCACCTGCGGCGCCGCGCAGCTCCGGAGGAGAAGCCATGTGGCTGGAGCAATGGCACGGTCCAAAAGCCGCAGTCTTGGTCGTCGCGTTTGTGCTGCAGTTGGTGCACTTGCGTAACCCGGCAGAGTGTGGCGGGCTGTGCCGCACTAATTCCACATTTGCCGCGCTTTTTGTTGGAATTCGCCGCTGCTTTTTTTTTTTTTACTACCGTGCTCTGGGGACTAACTGCCCTACGCCCTGCTTAGCACGGGTTTGCTTAACATGCGTATCTTGCAGTCGGTTTATTGCCGAGTCGGACCGTCAAATCCGAATATATCCTATGCCACACGTTCAGTAATGCATCCGGCCATTTCCTCGTCGCGCCCTTCATACACATGGGGATGTCGCACGCACCTTTGCGAGGAATTTGCGCCGAGTGGCGTGGGGGAAAAGTGCCCGGAGGCGGCGAAGCCGCAAGCCGCGATAAGATGGGCATGCACTCACTATACATGCGGAACTCAGGTGCTGTGGGCAGCGCAGTGACAACCAGGGCCCCGCCTGAGACAAAAGTAAATTATGCGAGAAGCGAAACTTTTCAGGCCACCTTCCCGGTTTCAGGTTTTACGCATCGGGTTGAATGCGGCGTGCAGTATCCACATGCAAATTCACGCGGGCTGGGATTGTTGCAACCGCAACCCAGACGGAAATGGGACACAGCACCCGACTTCGTACCAGTACAATTCAGCGGGTTTTGTGATCGATGATTGCCAGGGTTTTTCCTGGCGTCCCTGTTGTACTGTATTGGCTTCCGGTTGTCCTGCATTCAATCTCGTGATGACTTTGTTGAATCTTGATGCTACAAGCGGTGATGTTTCGAAGATTGGCAGGTGAAGTCCGACCATCGAGCTGATTTTGAATCCCTGCGCGGCAATCTGGTAGCAAACGACACCAAGCAAGTCGGCCCTGGGCTGTCGCAGCTGGTGCCGACTGTTGGCGCACAACACGAAAATTCCAAGACGAGCTCATACCCTGCTCTGGATAGACCGAAGACACACGTTGAACGTGCTGGTTTTGACATTGCATCAGATGAGGATGCAAAGGCCACTTCTCAACCGGAAGCCCGTGAGTTCCTGCACCAGTTGCACGAACAGGTGCAGATATTCCGTCACGAGGTTGGCTGCTTAGAAGCCGTGCGGGCCGACAGTGCGAGCGAAGTTGCAACACTGAAGCAGGAGTTGCATCTCCTGCAGTCGGAAGAGCAAATGCAGCAGCGAGCATGGGAATCGCAGAATGCTGCACTGCATTCGCAGGTTTCGTGGCTTCAAGAAGCAACGGCCCAACGGAGCGCGCAAGCCCGTTCGTTTCAGGACCAGCTGCAGATGCAGAAGCAGATGTTGGAGGACGCCGGCGCTCAATTTCGTCACGAGGCTCGCTGCTTGGATGAGGTCCGCGCCATGGGTCGGGACACAGCTGCAGAGCAGAGGCTGGAGCTGCGTGTGCTGCATTCGGAAGAGCAGATGCAGCGGAGCGCATGGGAATCACAGAATGCTGCGCTGCATTCAGAGATTTCGGTTCTTCAAGAAGCAAATGCCCAACGGGATGTACGAGCGCGTGAGCTACATGGCCAGCTGCACAAACAAGAGCAGACGGCGGAGGAAGCTGACGCGCAGTTCCGTCATGAGGTTCGCTGCTTACAAGATGCGCAGGTGGAATGTGCGAACAAAACTGCAGAAGAGATGCAGGAGATGCGTGTTGTTCTTTCGGAAGGGCAACTGCAGCGGAGCGCGTGGGCATCGCAGAATGCTGCGTTGCATTCAGAGATTTCGGTTCTTCAAGAAGCAAAGGCCCAGCAGGATGCATTAGCGCATGAGGTACAGGGCCTGTTACACAAACAGGAGCAGACGGCGGAGGAAGCCAACGCACAGTTGCGTCATGAGGTTCGCTGCTTAGAAGGTGTGCAGGGCGAATGTGCGGACAAGGCTGCAGAACAGATGCAGGAGATGCGTGTCGTGCAGTCGGAAGGGCAACTGCAGCGGAGTGCATTGGAATCTCAGACTGCTGCATTGCGTTCACAAGTTTCGGGTCTACAGGAGGCAATTGTTCAACGAGAGGCGCAAGCCCGTGAGTTGCAGGACCAGTTGCAGACGCAGAAGCAGATGTTGGAGGACGCCGGCGCTCAATTTCGTCACGAGGCTCGCTGCTTAGATGAGGTCCGCGCCATGGGTCGGGACACAGCTGCAGAGCAGAGGCTGGAGTTGCGCGTGCTGCAGTCGGAAGAGCAGATGCAGCGGAGCGCATGGGAATCACAGAATGCTGCGCTGCATTCAGAGATTTCGGTTCTTCAAGAAGCAAATGCCCAACGGGATGTACGAGCGCGTGAGCTACATGGCCAGCTGCGCAAGGAAGAACAGATGGCGGAGGAAGCTGACGCGCAATTCCGGAATGAGGTTCGCTGCTTGGCAGCTGCGCAGGCGGAATGTGCGAACAAAGCTGCAGAACAGATGCAGGAGATGCGTGTCGTGCAGTCGGAAGGGCAACTGCAGCAGAGCTCATTCGAATCTCAGACTGCTGCATTGCGTTCACAAGTTTCGGGTCTTCAGGAGGCAATTGTTCAACGAGAGGCGCAAGCCCGTGAGTTGCAGGACCGGTTGCAGATGCAGAAGCAGATGTTGGAGGACGCCGGCGCTCAATTTCGTCACGAGGCTCGCTGCTTGGATGAGGTCCGCGCCATTGGTCGGGAGACGGCTGCAGAGCAAAGGCTGGAGTTGCGCGTGCTGCATTCGGAAGAGCAGATGCAGCGGAGCGCATGGGAATCACAGAATGTTGCGCTGCATTCAGAGATTTCGGTTCTTCAAGAAGCAAATGCCCAACGGGATGTACGAGCGCGTGAGCTACATGGCCAGCTGCACAAACAAGAGCAGACTGCGGAGGAAGCTGACTCGCAGTTCCGTCATGAGGTTCGCTGCTTACAAGATGTGCGGATGGAATGTGCGAGCAAAACTGCAGAAGAGATGCAGGAGATGCGTGTTGTTCTTTCGGAAAGGCAACTGCAGCGGAGCGCGTGGGCATCGCAGAATGCTGCGTTGCATTCAAAGATTTCGGCTCTTCAAGAAGCAAAGGCCCAGCAGGATGCACGAGCGCATGAGCTACAGGGCCAGTTACACAAGCAGGAGCAGACGGCAGAGGAAGCCAACGCACAGTTGCGTCATGAAGTTCGCTGCTTAGAAGATGTGCAGGCGGAATGTGCGAACAAGGCTGCAGAACAGATGCAGGAGATGCGTGTCGTGCAGTCGGAAGGGCAACTGCAGCGGAGTGCATTGGAATCTCAGACTGCTGCATTGCGTTCACAAGTTTCGGGTCTTCGAGAAGCCCGGTGTCAGTGGGACATTCAACTTCGCGAGCTGGAGGCCGCCCTCCTGCAAGCTGAAGCGCATGCAGCTGAGCAGAAGGGACAGTTCATGGAACAGCAACACTCATTAGAGGTAGCAGAGGTGCAACTCCATCTCAAGTTGGAGATGTGCGAAGCCACAGAGAGCAGAACCAAGCACCAACACGTGCAAGCGGAGTCGCGCGAACTGAGTGTGGAATGTCAGGAGCTCAATACCAAATGGTTGGGTGCAACAGAGACCATTGGATGTCTGGAACTGGACATGCAAAAGCTCGAGTCCCAGGCTGAGAGATTACGTGCAGAAGCCGACGCTCACGAGTGCCTTGTCGCATCGGAGCGAGAGGAGTCGACCTACAAACAAGCGCTGGCAGCATCGCGAGCAGCCAGTTACGAGCAAGAAGAAGATCTTTGCCAAATGCGGCAGAAAGCGTTGGAGTCGCAAAATGAAGCTCTGCAATCTTGGTGCTCTTCGTTGCAAGAACAGAACTTGCAGTTGCAAAGTGTGCGGACACAAGATGAGATGCGCTGGCTCTCAGAGTGCAGGGAAACAGATTTGCTCCGACAACGCTTGCTTGAAGCACACGAGTTGCAAGCAGGCGCTTCTGGTCGGGAACCAACTCTATGTGAAGAGGTCAGCTGCCTGAGAGAAGCCAATGCAGCCTTCGAGGACACCGTGGGTGAGATCAAATGTCGCCACCGGCAGATGCAAGAAGAGTCAGAACGCCGCCGGTCAGAATGCGAAGAACTCACTGCATGCTGGCTGTCTGCCTGTGAGGAGGTTGACTCCATGCAGCTTGGCATGTGGCAGCTGAAGGCCCAAGTCGAGAATGCACAGAAGAAGAGCGAACAACTGGTGGTTGATTGCAAAGCCTTCAAGAAAGAGCGCGCTGAAAGTCACGAGCAGAGTGCCAGGTTGCAGCTGCAGGTGCGTCAGTGTCGCACGCAGTTAGCGGCGCTTCAGCAAGAGGTCGTGATGGAAGGGTTGAGTTTCGTGCGTCCGGACAGCCAAGTGCAGAGGACCATCTGGGAATCGCGGAATGCAGAACAGCGTTCACAAGTTCCGGGTATTGTAACTGTTCATCAAGCAGCACGAGCCGCGCAAGCCTATGAGTTGCCGGACCAGCTGCAGACAGACAAGCAATTGTCGGAAGAAGTGCAAGCAGCAGAGCAGTTGCGCCGATTTTCCCGCCAGTCCTTTTGGGGCCCAGCGACTTGACACGGACATTTGTATTTTGAATCTTTCGCACCTGTACGCCGGTTGCGAGTGAGCGTGTCAGAGTTTGTCGCAAACCACAATGTTGATGGCATCTGCTTGTAGCGTTCGCCAAGGCCGGCGGCCACACCACAACGGGATCAACGAGGCGGCATATTTGCCACACAATGAGCGTAGACACATTGTGGAACGTTTCGGAAGCTTCGAGTTTGAGCTTCCTCGGTCCTTCTTCCGTTGTCATCGAAGTCACGACCAGGCAATCTTCTTTTTGGTTTCTGTTGCTGCTGGCGATGGTTATTGAATCAAGAGCTGCCAAATCTAGTCTAATAGAATCTTTCCGGCAAGATGCGTCTCACACGCCTGGGCCCTTTATACAGTAGATTTATTTCGCATGCAGACAGCTCAAAAAGCGTTCGGATGTATTTGTCTCGATGCGGCTATTCCGGGCAAGGTCCTCCGGTGGTGTTTGCCGCTGTCGTATGCTGCTTCGCCACTCGACAGGCTTGTGGCATCGACAGTATGTAGATGAAGCCTTCTTTGATATCCCCCAGGCTTGACATGAACCCCCGTCCATGAGTAGGTATGGGTGGCGTTACATCACAACCTCAATCACTCGAACTACAAATCGCCTGCTGTGGGCAAGTAGCTCAACCCAGGCCCAGGCCTAGGCCAGGCAATGATTGCATGGAGCAGATGTGTTGGTTGTATCCGGTATGGAAGTTTTCCAACATTTTCCAACAAACCACGGGCTCGGGAAACACTGTACCTGCAGGAAAGAAAGCTTGAGTGGCACATGCCCGAGAACCAAACGAAATCGGATTAGTTGCTCAAGTGATCCGACATGTTCAGAACGCCCTTCACCGGACGGATTCACTTCTTCACCAAGGAAATGCTTGCTTGGTCATTTGGCGACACTGGACGGTGGAGAGGAAGTATGCACAACGCCACGCAGTTACTTTGAGTTCTCTGGCAGCATGGTGAGCTGATTCATTGAAAGCTAGGGCCGCTAGGGGTAGATGGGAAACGGCCACACCGATGTGCGCTCCAAGATGTGGAAAGATGGCCCCTGGCCTTGGCGTTCACGGCTGCTCGACTCACGTTCTGCCGTGGCACAATGGGGCGTAAGCTCAGCATTTTCGGAGATAAGGTCTGGGCAAGGTCGAGTGAGACTGCGACATTTCGCATCCGCCATGGGCTGCGTCTGTTGTACGCCGCAGTGCTGAGTGCACAGCCGCTTGGAATCAAGGCCGTGGTTAAGAGATCTCAACATGTGATGATCATGACATGGCCGAAGTGCTTTGAAGTGACACTGACACGCTGAGGCGACGATGTTTGCTCCAGGCGGGATCGTGTGTTTGCAGGAACTTTCAAAGGAGTCATGGTGGTTTTCCTCAAGCTATCTCAAGCTTGATTACTATTGATTACATTGTCACGGAAGGCAACCCGCTGCCTGCTGGGCCGCTCCAAAGACACCGTGCTGGTAGCTCTCACGGATGCAGCCTCTGCGCAAAGTGACAGAACGTACCAGCGAAGACGTAGTGTGGTTGATCGATTTGTGGTTGGGCACCTTCCAGCGCGTCGCAGAGTGCTGGAGCTTGCCTTGCGCGCTTGGCGAGACGCATCATGCACTTACCAGACCTGTGGCAATCAAACTGGAAGGCAGCCCTCAGCTCTCCAGTCAAAGGATGGCAGATTTTCACATGTCGACGAGATCCGGACGAGAGTCTGCGAAAGCAAGCCGAAGACAAAGGCTTCAATTCCAACCATGCCGTGCGGACCTTTGTTTTCGACGATTGTCGAAGAGAACCATAGTCAGCTTCTGCTGTGAATTGATCATGCACGTGCGATGAGGGGTTTACATCGGCCAGTCTTCGGCAGCTGGCAGTTCTCTTGCATCCCACCGCATGAATAATATGTTGACCATCGCTGCTTGTTTACTGAACACTTTTCCTGGCCGCTGCCCCATCCTTCTCTTGCGCTGCGTCTGGGGTCGGAAATCTGAATCGGTTTAGAGTCGCTGCGCAGAAGCGGAATTCTAACCACACACTCTTCTGTTCTGATCTGTTACGGCTTCTGTGGGAAGGAAGTCCTGAGGTCTCGGCATTCTGAGTTGAACCACCTGAAAAGTCTGAGCTTCAAGAGCCCTCTCAAGTTGCTTGCATGGAGTCGGTATGGGACAACCCACCCAGCAAAAGCCGACATCAATCATCACCAATCCCCACCAAGTTTCCTGACTGAGGTTGTTGCAGGCAATGTCTGCTTGGCGAGGAGTCGTTCGAGCTCGGAGGGCCAGAAACAAGTCCTGAGGTCGCAGGTTGGGCCAGGAAGGAATACCATTCGTGGAGGTGGAGGGCCTGCAGGCCAGGCTACGGGTCGAACATCACCTAGAGTCCTGGAGCCGGCAAGGAACACCACAAAGGACAACGGTATGGCTGGTTTGACTTCAAGGTGCTGCAGATGCTGGGAGTTCACGTTGGGAGATGTCGCCGAGCAACCGAAGCCCTGATGCCCACCACAGAATCGCCGACTGTGACTCGTTGACTTGACTTGGTCTGTCAAAGCACAGCTCAACTGCACAGAGGTCAAAAAGTGGTGGCTGAAGGTCGGGCAGCATTGAGTATCAGTGAATCTTGAGTTTGCGGCGCTCTTTCTTGCAAAGTTTGACACATCTTCATTCGTTTTCGGTTTACAGTACGTACAATGCTCCGCCGGCTCCAACACATACCAACTGCAAGAGCAAGCTGTGCGCAGTCCAGGAGTCCTGCCGAAGGCTGCTCGACTCGGAAAGCCCTGAAAGCTCTGGGTAGCCTGATCACTCGCGCGGCTGGGCAAGCTCAGGAGCGGAGAGAAGGCAGTCCCGGTGCCGTTCCGCAAAGGAGAATCCCGAGACTTGCGACTTGCTGAAGCCGCGGCCTGGCCGCAGAAGGCCCGGACGGCTATGATCCATCAGTCCCTGCGCAGTCTTTCGGTCACGTGCTTGACAGGACATGCAAGCCTGCAAAATCAAGCAAGAACAGTCCAGAAGGCGAACGGGGCTTCTTGCATCGCTTTTTTCCGGCTTGATGTTTCAAGAAATCGGCGGATTTCTGAACGTAATAATTAGGCAATGGGCTGGCCTTAATCTGAAGGGTGTTATGTGACATGCTTGCCACCGCACGTGCGAAGTGTCTTTGTATTACAGCAGGCTCACGACATGGCCAGTGTGCTTCGCTGCAGTTGGTTGGAAGTCATGCAGCTAGAACCCGGCGGCGACAAGGCTTGTCGCCACAGCAGTACCTGGGAGCCACGTCGCGTGTTGCTTAGCATTCACAGGATTTGTTGCGTGGACAGTGGATGTCTCTGTCGTCAGCACACGCAGACCTGGGTCTGAGGCAGCCCCTTACCGAGCAGATTGCTGAAGCTCAGCGGAGAGCGAAAGGTCTCCTTGTGTCAGGCGATGGTGGCGAAGGTCAGAGAGAGGCGCGAAAGAGAGCAAATCGGGCATTCCGCGCATGTTTGCCTTCAAACCTTTCGCAAGCCTGAAGATTGCTGGGCTTGTGTGAAGCTACACGGTTCGATGCGCTTTTTTGCGCGCGGTATGGAGGCACGATGACTAGCCACGGCATGTCGATAATGTCGGCAGGCGTGGGGCTTGAGGGACTTCGCCCCAATTACATTTTTTTGTCTTTCAGTATACTTCGTAATTTTACTGTCGCTGTAGGCCTCGTTTGAGACTCCACTGCCACTCATCCGCAGCCCCAAACTGCAGAAGTACGGGTCGAAAAACCACGAAGGTGCAGAATAATCCTAGTGCTGGCTGTTGTTGTGCCTGGGTCAGACAGAACAGTGGAGAGGCGGTGGCCACACCATTCGTGATTCAAGCTGCTCCGAGGCACTTCGTTTGTTATAACATGAGCAAGTGCACAAAGGTCGTTTCTGACAGGTTGCCTCTGCCTCCAGCATTGCGCTGCTGCATTGTCACGGCTCCGTCGCCGGCTTCGACGGCCTTGGGACCCGGCCCGTTGATCCTTCGCAGGGTGAGGCTGGAGAGTTGTGGTGGACCTGCGTTGGAGGCTGTTCCGTCAAAATTCATGTCCAGACGCTGCGGGTCGCATAGCCCAAAGGCTGTCGTCACAGGGTTCGGTCAGTTCTGCGCAGGTCTCCGAAGAAACAGCTTGTGAGCTCTATGACTGCTTCGTGAACGGTTCTGTGAAGCTGGCCAAAAGTGCATCAGCTAAGCTGGTCAGAACACATGTCTTTGCAGCTTGGCTAGCCATAGAGTTGGCAAACCTGCTTTGAAGCAAGAAGGCAGGATTGTGCTCAGGGCGCTGCTGGAAGCGGTGTGGAAGGCAGAGCCTTTGCACAACTCGTGCTGGCGGCTTGCACCATCCGAGATTGCGCGGCTCAGTGTGCAAGACAGTGCTGTGACAGGCAACTTTTCGTAGAGTCGTTGTGGAGACAGCGAATTGCAGGTTGGCAATGGGCTTCTTCTAAGACATGGGCAGGCACATGATCGGGCTTCAACTGGTTGTGGTCAGCCGGTGCTGCCTCCTCCGGCTTAAGGCCGACATCTCCGATTGCACAATCCGCAACTGTGGCCAAAGCGGTTTGGTGCTGGGGCCCGGGACATGGAGGTTGTCGGGGAATACGCTGCAACTTGGCTTGAGATGCACAGGAACGATTGCCCACATTGTGCGCTTCAATTCACTTGGCTGCCTAGTTCTAGCAATGGTCAGTATGGCGTCTGGGCCGAAGCCGGAACGAGAGCAGAATGGAGACCTTCGGCTGCACATGGACCGGATTCTGGCAGTTCTGGCTACATGACGCGGAGTTGAGGGCCTAAGGACAGAGCCTTTGCACGGGAAATTTGCTCGGCGATAGAGGCGGCCGTGGAGCGCCTCGGGAGTCCAGCAAGTCTGGCACACAGTGGGGCCATGAGATGCCATGAGCTGAGGAGCTGGTTGGTTGGCAAGGGAGTGGATTGGCACCAGGTGAAGAGTGTCGCGTTTGGAGCGAGCCGCGGGGTAAGTGGATCAGAGCGAAAGTGCGGGAAACTGCATCTGCTCAAGATGAGGCAGGACGGGACATACGCTGGCGCACTTCCTTGATGTTGTACAGCATGGGTAGGGCGGGTTGGGCAGGGGCTTGGCAAGACAAGCACGTCATAGGCACTGAACAGGTGCTCGTCTCAGTATTTCTGAGTCTTGTGCAGGTCGTGGTTGCAATCAGAAAGCGAAAATTTGCGAAAACTTCTGTGGAACCGGACGACGATGGGCCAGATGCGGAGCAACTGATAGGAGAAGGAGAGCTTGGCGTTGAGGCGCATTCGCCAAATAAACATGTGAAGATCTGTGAAGCAGACGTGCTACTGGTAACACAGCCGTCGGACATGTGTCGATTTTGCTTTGCAACTGAGAGGCTGTGGATGGAGGCCTTGTTCCGAGCTTCATGGAAACTTGAGCTCTTTTCCTGTTCCGCTTTCGCAGTCAGGTCTGCTTAAAGTGCCGGCAGCCGGAGTACGGCCATTGTGCAGTGGGGGCCGAGAGCCACCGCCATTCTCCCAGAAGGCTCCCAATGACGGCAGTCTAGTCACAGTCCTGTCTCCAATTGTGCCACACTTAATCATTGCTTCACTTCTTTTCTTTCTGTCCCCAACAATGCCTTGATCAGTGGCATGTGTTGGTGTTTCGGAGCCGTTTTGGGTGCTTGTTGGTGGGCAGCGGTGGTCGTCGTCGTCGTCGTTCGTTGTCCTAGTACTGGTACTTCTATTGGTACTAGTATTGGCCTTACCAGTAGTAATTTTTTGTAGTAGTAGTAGTAGCAGCAGCAGCAGCAGCAGTAGTCGACGTAGTCGTGGTCGTAGTAGTCGTAGCAGTAGTAGAGCAGTAGTAGTAGTAGTAGTAGTAGTAGTAGTAGTAGTAGTACTAGTATAGTAGATAGTAGTAGTATAATGTAGTATTAGTAGAGTAGCAGTAGTAGTAGTAGCAGCAGGAGTAGTAGTAGTAGTAGTAGTAGTAGTAGCAGTAGCAGTAGTAGCAGTAGTAGTAGTAGTAGTAGTAGTAGTAGTTCCTGCCGGCCTTTGAACATGACCTGCGCACAGGGTTTGCACTGGAACAGCGTTTTGTCACCTACCGTCGTCTTGCTGCAGTCGTGCACTTAGGTCAACAATGTACGGAAGGACACTACCGTAGCATCCTGTACCATCCTGAGGAGCACTATGCACTATATACAGATGACAACAAGCCTGCCAGCCGCTGTCGCCCTGCAGATCTAGCCGCAGCCCAAAACAACAATTATCTGTTCTTGTACCTGAGGTGTGCACCAGACTGCTCATTAGAGCACCAGTTGGCCTGCCGCAATTCCTGTTAATGCCCTAAGCCCCACCTGTGTGCAATGTGCGAGGGTGATATGTTTTCCTGTACAGTCCCTACATCACAACTATCTACATTCACCAAGTGGAAGGTCCCACTTTTTCACTGACAGATAAGCTGCACAGTT